CGAGGGGAGGGGCGAGGAGGATCGTTAAGGAGAAGGGGGAAGAAGTAGGGGACGAGGATGATGATAAGGAGAAGGGGAAGGAGGGAGGGGGAGGGAAGGGGGATAGGAGGAAGTGGGGTTGGGAAAGGGGAGGAGGGAAGGCAGAGGAGGATGTGGAGAAGAGGAGGAGGGGGAGGAAGATTAGGAGTAGGAGTGAGTAAGGATGGTGAGAGGAGGAGAAGTGTACGAGAAAGAAGGATGGAAGAAAGGGAAGAGAAAGAGACGAGGAGGGAGGAGGGAGAGAGGAAGAGAGAAGGAGGAGAAAGAGAGAGAGAGAGATGAGAGAGGAGAGGAGAGAGAGGAGAGAGAGAGACGAGAGGAGAGAGGAAGAGAGAAAAGAGGAGAGCGGGAGAGAGAGGAGGAGTAGGAGGGAGAGAGAAGAGAGTGGAGAGAGAGAGAGAGATAGAGATGAGAGAGACGACGAGAAGAAGAGAGAGAGAGAGAGGAGGAGAGAGAGAGGAGGAAGAGAGGAGAGACAGGGGACGAGAGAGGAGATGAAAGAGAGAGAGAGAGAGAGAGAGGAGAGAAGAGGAGGAGAGAGGAGAGAGAGAGAGAGAGAGAGAGAGAGAGGAGGAGAGAGAGAGAGAGAGAGAGAGAGGGAGAGAGAGACGAGAGAGAGAGGAGGAGAGAGAGAGAGGAGAGAGAGAGAGAGAAGAGAGACGAGAGAGAAGAGAGAGAGAGAGAGAGGAGAGAAAGAGCGGAGACAGAGACAGAGAGAGAGAGAGAGAGAGAGAATGGAGAGAGAAGAGAGAGAGAGAGAGAGAGAGACGAGAGAGACGAGGAGAGAGAGAGAGGAGAGAGAGGAGAGAGGAGAGAGAGAGAGAGAGAGAGAGAGAGAGAGAGAGAGAGAGAGAGAGAGATAGAGAGAGAGAGAGAGAGAGACAGAGAGAGAGACAGAGAGAGAGGAGAGAGAGACAGAGAGAGAGGGATGAGAGGAGAGAGAGAGAGAGAGAGAAGAGAGAGACGAGAGAGAGAAGAGAGAGAGAGAGAAGAGAAGAGACAGCCAGAGAGACAGAGAGAGACAGAGAGAAACACAGAGGAAACCAGCGAGCGAGAGAAAGAGAAACAGAGAGAGATCAAATATGCACCATAAATAATTACACTCTCTAGGATCTATATGATACACCTGTCGGAGAAACCCCCTCCAGACCCATCACACACCTGTCCAAGTATCACTCAAGCCTTCCCCTTTTCCCTCCTCTCCTCCCCCTTCACCCCTTCACCCCTTCTCCCCTCGGTTCCTTTTCCTTCACCCCTTTCTCCCCTCATTTCCTTCTCTTTTATCCTTTTCTCCCCTCACTTACTCCCCCTTCAGCCCTTCTCCCCTCACTTCCTTTATTTTCATCCCTTCCTCCCTTCACTTCCTTTTCCTTCATCCTTTTCTCCTCTAACTTCCTGCACCCCCTTCTCCCCTCACTTCCTTTTACTTCACCACTTCCTCCCCTCACTTCCTTTTTCCTTCACACCCCTTCCCCTTCTTCCTTCACTTCCCCCTCTCCCCCTTCCTCCTTCCTTCCCACTCCCTTTCTTCATCCCTTCCTCCCTCACTTCCTTCTCCTTCATCCCCCCTTCATTCTTCCCCCCTTACTTTCCTTCTCCTTCGCCCTTCTCCCTCACTTCCTTCCCCTCTGTAAACGCCCGACTTAACTCCCAACTTAACTTTCAAAACTTTAAAGTAACTTCCTCGCTGACGCACTTCCTCGCTGTCTACCTGGATAACTTCCTTTCGATTAAACCAGAATCTGGGTGGACGTCATCGCTTAAGACTCTGCTCCCTGCCTCCTCCCCCCCCCCTTGTCCTCCGGGTACCCCCCCCCCCTTGATTATTCCGCGTACCCCCCTCCCTCCCCTCCCTCCCCTCAGCCCCTCCACCTCTGTTTATCTTTCCATCTTATTCTGCTTCTTTGTTTATCTCTCTATCTATTCGTCTTTTCTGTTTCTTTATTTAGCTTTTTCTCTGTTCGTCTATTTGCTTCTGTATTTTATTTTAATCTATTTCCTTCATACCTCAAGGTACCTTCCCCTTCTTCGCCTCCCCCCCCCCCTCCTCCTCTCCTTCCTCCTCATCCTCCTCCTCCCTCCTCTTCTCTCCTCCTCCTCCTCCTCCCTCCTCCTCCTCCTCCTCCTCCTCTCCTCCTCCTCCTCCTCCTCCTCCTCCTCCTCCTCCTCCTCTTTCTTCTTCTTCTTCTTCCGTCGACACCTGTGAAGGAGACACGAGCGGCGCCAAGAAGGAATCGATCGGTATTCCTGTCGAAGTGCATACGTGGACACGAATATGCAGTATGATCATGCCGCACACGCACACACACACACACACACACACACACACCTTACCCCCTACACACACAACACACACCCCCCACACACACACACACACACACACACCTCCCCCCTACACACACACACACACACCTCCCCCCCCCTCCACAACACACACAGCACCCAGGCATGCACGCACATCCGATAAAACCGTCATCTCTTTATTTTCCGAAGCAAAAATATATCCAGGAACTCAGGTAAAAGACCTATGAGGTGGGCGGCCTGTGAAAGGGGCTCGTGGGCGTGTGGCGCTGATGGATGGGCGTGAGGAGGCGATTGTGGATAAAGGAGAGAAGAGAAGAGGAAAAGGCGAAAAGAAAATGGTGATAGCCTTGGAGGTTTCAGCCTTGGAAGAGGAGGAGAAGATGAAGAAAGAGAGGAAGAGGAGGAGGAGGAAGATGATAAAGGAAGCGAGGAAGAGGGGGAGGATGATAAAGGAGCAGGCGAATATGAAAAAGAGAGGAAGAGATGATGATGATAAAGGAATGATGAGAAGAGAGAAGAGGATGATGATGATAAAGAAGCGAGGAAGGGGAGGATGATAAAGGAAGCGAGGAAGAGGAAAAGGAGGAATATGAAGAAAGAGAGGAAGAAGAGGAGGAGGAAAATGAAGAAAGCGAGGAAAATGAGGAGCAGGAATATGAAGAAAGTGAGGAAGAGGAGGGTGAGGAGGAAATGAAGAAAGTGAGGAAGAGAAGGAAGATGAAGAAAGTAAGGAATAAGATGAAGAGGAAGATGAAGAAAGTGAGGAAGAGAGATAAGGCAGATAATGAGAGCCGAGGAGGAGGAGGAAACAGAGGATGAGGACGAGGAAGAGGAGGGAGGGGGATAAAGAAGGAGGAGGAGGAGGAGGTGAATGAAGAAAGAGAGAAAGACTAAGAATGAAGATAAAGAGGGAAATGAAAGGAGAATGAAAGGGAAAATACGAGGAGAAGGAAGATAGAGAAAGCGAGAAAGAGGAAGGAGGGCGAGGAAAAGGAGAAATGAGAATGAAGAAGAGCAAAGGAAGGAACAGGAAGGAGGAAGACCAGATAGTAAGAAGAGGATGAAGAAGATGAGGACTAGGGATAGGAAGGAGGAAAATAAAGAGAGAAGAGGAGTCTGAGGAAAATGAGGAATAGCATGAAGCACGATGAAGTCGAGGAAGAAGAGGAGGACAAGGAATAAGGGAGAGAACGGAGGTGAGGAAAAGGAAAAGAATGAGGAAAAAGACGGAGGAATATGAGGAGGAGGAACATGAGGAAGCGAAGTTAATCGGAGGAACATGAGGAAGTGGAGTGAATCAAAAAAACATGAAGAAGGAAGAAGAAGATGAGGCTCAGGAAGATGAGGAATAGGCATGAGGGAAGATAAAGAGTAGGAAGGGAAGAAAGATGAGAGTTAGGAAGACTTAGGAGCAAGAGGAATATGAAAATGAGGAAGAAAAGGAAAACCAAACCAATCCAAAAAAAAAAAAAACAAAAAAAAAAAGATAAATATAAGAGAAAAAGTAAAAACAAAAAGGTAAGTAGATAGACAAATAAATGAATAAAAAGATAAATAAACATGTGGATGGAAAAATAAATAGATGAATAGATGTATAGACGACGAAGCAGATAAACAGACATATACATAGATATATGAACAAAGGAAGCAGAATATATGAATAGATAAAAAGATAAAGAAGCAGAATAGATGAAAAGATAACAAAGATAAATAAAGAAGCAGAACAGATGAATAGACAAAAAATAAATAAATAAAGAAGCAGAATAGATAAATAGATAAAAAATAAATAAAGAACCAGTATATATGAATAGATAAAAAAGATAAATAAAAACGCAGAACAAACGGAGAAGATAAACAGATAAATAAATAAAATACAAAATAGTTTAATGAAATACAACAAAACTCTTCAGAAAATTAAACTCACACTGCCAGACTCCCACAATGCACCGGGGGCGAGACCGAGGCAAGGGACCAGGCCAGAGCAGACCGTTAAGTGGTCAGCAGATGTCAAGGGGTCAGCATTACTCATGAGGGGGGGGCGGGGGCAAGAAGGAGGGGGGGACGCAGGAGAGGAGGGAGGGGGGGCAGAGTGGGAGGGAGGGAAGAGGAGGGGGAAGCGGGGGGGGGCGCAGAGGGGGGGGGCGGGGGGAAGGAGGAGGAGGGGGCGAGGAGGTGGTGGGGGAGGGGGGCTGATCGTACCCTCCTCTCTTCTTCTCCTCTCTTCTCTTTTCTTTTCCTTTCTCTATGATCTTATATTTTTTCCGTTTCTTTTTTTCTTCGCTATCTCTTTTTTCTTCTTCTCTATTTTCCTTCGATGTCTTTTCTCTTCTCTCTCTTATTTTTCTCATCTCCTTCTTTTCCCTTCTTTCTTCTCTATCTCTTTCTCTCTTTTTTCTCCATCCCTTTTCCTCTCTTCTCTTCTTTTCTATCTCTTTCTCTCTTCTCCCTCTCTTTCCCCTTCTCCATTCCTTTCCTTTCTCTTCTTCTCTCTCTATCTCTTCTCTCCTATCCTTCCTCTCCTCCGTTCCCTTTTTCTTCTCCTCTTTCCTTCTCCTCATCTCTTCTCCTTCCCTCTCCTCTCCCTATCTTCTCTTTCTCCTATCTTCTCTTTTCCATCCTCTCCCCTCCCTCCCTACCCCTCCTTCCTCCCCCAACCA